GATGTTTTAATTAACGGCCATAAATAAAGAAAAAAAAAATCTTTTGGCACCATCATCACTTTAGGTCATTTTGTTTTAAATGCAAACAGTGAAGCCAGATATGATGAAATCAAAAAGAAGAAGAGAACAAATTTAACAAAAAAGTAACTGCTAATTTCACAGAGCTTGAATTTCTTATCACCATAATTTACTCTGTTTAGAAACAACTATTAGTATGAAAAACGGACCATTTACAAACTGGATTCTAAGTAACTGAGGGTTTACTAAATTTGATGAGGCCTCAGAGTTAGTATTCATTTAATTATTTATACTAAAAATAGATGCACTTGTGTAATGGCTTTGTGAATAAATGGCTCTCTGCTGTTGTTGTTGGACCTTGCTGAAGCATTTTCTAGCCAGCCAGTGGCTCCTTTTTTAACTCTGCCAGAGACTTTACTTTGAATCAAAGGCCTCTGTTACTTTTCCAACTCAGAAGTCTTTGTGCTTTGTGAGAGTTCAAAAGTGAGACATCTGAATTAAAAGCATTTCCTTTTCTACACTTCTTCAATGAGTTTAGTGAGTTTCACATTAGGGTAAATTGTGCTTTTTCTTTGCTGTTCCTTTCATGCCCTGTCTAATGGATCTGGATAGTGTTACGCTTCCTGGAGCAGGATGCACAGAATTAAATTAATATTTCAAAATGTTTATAATGTTTTCCTGCTGCACACAGAAATGTGCTTTCTTCACTTAAAGCTCAGCTTTACCATCATATTAAATGCAAGTTCACCCTGAACAAGGGCATGTACCAGCAGGAGTTTGTGACATTACAACTTGTTCGCATCCAATGATGGACCAGTGCAATAAGTAGGAAAACTTAGTTCAGTGAAATAGGACACACATTGTAATCAGTAGGGAAACATTTGAAACAAATAATATTTTGATATCAACTTTTTAAATTATTTAATTAGGTAGAATGCGGAGATAGATAATCACAAAAGTGCTAAATTATTTATAGAGCTTAAAACATGTTTAAAGGGTACCTTAATATACAGGATCTTGAATGAAATAGACATGTGGAATTTTTTGGGAATCTAAGCATCGTTTTAAATAGATACAGAAGTTAGAGACAGCTGTTGTTTAAGACCATATAATGAGGAGGCCACATTCAAGATTCACTGTATAAACTTATATTAACAAAACAAAAATCACTGAAACTATAAGAGCCTGGGGGCCTGGCCTTAAAAAGGCAGGAGTCTAAGGCTACATTCACACTGCAGGCGAAAGAGCATCAAATCCGATTTTTTTGACCCTATGCAACCCATATCCGATCATGGTATGACAGTGTGAACGGCACAAATCCGATATTTTCAAATCCGATCTGGGTCACTTTCGTATGTGGTACTGAATCCGATACATATCCGATGTTTCAGAAAGCGACTGCTGTGTGAACG